GGGCTCCCTGGCGCGGAGGGGGGGACCTGCCGGCACACTGCGAGCTGTCAACGAGCCGGCGCCTGGGGAACGTCAGCTGACTACTCACGTGTTTTTCCAGCCGGCGCATCCGCCACAGCAGATTCGCCTGTGCATTTCCCACGTCGGTGCGCCTGGTAGAAAACTTCCGGGTCTCGTGCCCTTGTGTTCCGGCGTGCCTCAATCTAATCATCTAAAATGTGCAAGAAGGTGTACTTCTATTGTGGTGGTGTATTTCAGAGATGGCGCAAGAGTCGCTGTGGTGACGAAAGCGCGGCAGCGAAAGCGCAGACTCGGTTCTCAGCGACCGGATGCGGAAAGGCGATGGCTCCCCGCGCCGCGCTCCGCAGCGCGCATGCGCCGCCGCGGGACGGCTGTGCCTGATTGGACGACGCGTGCCAGGGGGCGGGGAGCGCTGGGGGTCCGGTTTTGGGCGGGAATTGAAACCGCCGCTCCTGCCAACGAGAACTGGAGAGCTGGGGATTTTGAGCGTTGAAGGCGACCATGGTTCGGCCTGCGAGGTGGGTAATTCATGACGCCCCGCGGGGGGGGGGAGAAAGAGCCTGGAGACGCGGTAGGCGACGCCTGCACTGCATTGCGGGGACGGGGCCGAGTCCGACGGAGGCGGCGGTGGCGGCGTGGGATGGGGCTATGGGGAGCCTCTCCAGCCGGAGCCACCTGTTGCTCAGAAGTGTCCTAGTGTCCCAGTCATCTGCTCCTCCTTGCCTCCCTCCACCGCGATTGCCGTTCCTTTTACCTGCCCGTTCGAGTAAGACCCTAGGTTAACGTTTGAACGGCGCTTTGCATTTCGCACGTCGCCTAGCGCGTTACTTCATTTCTTCATCACTGGAGTTCTATCACATAGAAAGGACAGGGATTTCCACTTTGTTGATTTAAAACTCCCAGCATGAAAGCCAGTGTACCGGAGTCACGCACCTAGTAAGTGGCAGAACAATACTCAAACCCAGGTCGTCTGACTCCAGATCCTCTGTGCTCTCTATTTGAAGCTATCCCCTAGTGCATCGGAGTTGAGAGCCCTGGAAACCTAGAGTCAGCCATTCATTAAGGCTATTGAGCATACTTACTTCTATACTGTACCAGGTGCCCGAGGTTACGTCGTAATGGGAGGTGATGTTAGCGGGCACAAATAGCCATTGCCGTGCTCCAGTGGGAAGGAGGAAAGCCCTTCTTGAAAGCAGTGTAGTCAGGAGGAGCTCCTCTGCGGATATACATACTCTGAGAGGGGAATGACAAGAAGGACCTAGCAAGGCAAAAACTGGGGGCAGTC